AGAAAGAGAAGAGTAGGGCTCATTGGCACAGTCAAACCACACACATCTAGTCAAATATGCCTTAATTTTATTCAGTATAATACATACTTTTAGGCCTGGAATGATATCTGGTTGCTCTTCTCTGAACTGATGCAATATTTTAGAATGGTATGACCAAAAAGTACACAATATTCTCAGGGAGGCCTTATCAGTGCATTATACAATTTTAGCAGAACATCCCTCCTCAAGCTCAAATACAGTGCAATCAGCACTTCATTGCTTTTAATGTGTGTTTTGCAAAATCATGAAGGTGATAACAAAACAGTGTTAAAATAGGGCATGCAGCCCTCACAGCATTTTAAGGAACAGAGAACAATTACAAAACGTCTTTTTAAACATCAGACTAAAACGAAGGCTTGAATCTTGTGACCTGGCAGCGTGAGCGGATTTTAGGAAGGCAGCTGGAATCATCACAAAGTCCTGCTCATGTTATCACATTGTGAAAGGGTCTTAGGAATGCTCTAGACTGGCATCCTGTCCGGCGATACCTGTAGGTAGATTTTTTTTTAACTTATGCTCATGGAGTTACACATTACGGCTCCTCTGTATCTAGGCGCTATGTTGTCCCTTTAGTCTTCTGTACATAGGCTTCGCTCAGCTGATTCTGGTTTACTGCACGTTCCCCTGTTTGTCTACAACCCGTCTTAAAAGTCTTTTGTCTCCGTGTTCCAAACTCTGGAACAACATCGCCAAAGAAAACAGCACTGAGCCACATCGGTTGCTTTCAAAATTCAGCCAAAAAACATGAAAGCTTTTAGCATGTTTTGTTAACCGACTCTTTAATCTTGTTTGAAAGCTTTGTGTTCAGCGTTGTGTAGGTTTCTTTTACTTCCAGTGCGTGCTTTTTCTGTGTGGTGTTGTGAGATGATCGCTTTTAAATGAACTGTATAAAATGATTTATTACTATACAGCAGCGGTCTCTTCTTCCTTCAACTTTCCGCTCAGAACCTTACAGACCACCCTCACAGAGGTGGAAAGTGTGTTTCAAAGTGGAAAGTTACAAAATCATTTGGTCTGCTTTTTCACTCACTTGCCCTTTTCTGGTATTTCTAACAAACGCTGTGCCTAGTTCAGTGCTGGTTTGGATTGTAATTATATGGTAAGAACATGCCATACGACACTGAGTCTAAAATAGCAGTCTGGGTCAGATGAATTGTAGGTCTTACCAGAAAGCAGCCCCACCCTTCCCCCCTCAGAATGTTTTTTTTGTGCTCATTTCCCTCTTTTAAAAAAGTAAGATTACCTCCCTGATAAAATGATGACATTCTATTAAGTTTCCATCACGGTTTATTTTCTTCTAAAAAATATTCAGATTTAAGCAGCTTCTGAAATAAAATGTTACATCCAGTGGAGCGGAACTACAAATTACTCTTTACAAGATATTTGATTGTTAGAAATGAACTTAAATTTTCTTTTGTTTATTTAACAATTCAGAGAGGAACAGGAATCTGCTTAAAGGCTCGGCACACAATAATGTGAGCGATCTGTGGTATGAAAAAACAATTTTAACAACTGGATTCCCTCCAGCTCTGCCCTGGAAAACTTTCCATCTTCATCTGCAAAT